GGATCTTCGATCAAAGAGAGCAAAAAGTGGAAAGCATGCTTTTTTCTAAATCTATAGCTTTTTTTTTTAATGTATGACAACTAACATATGAATTTGCACTATGTTAGTTTCAACTAAATACAATTTTTTGTCGAATGTAATTCAATTCTAACACTCAACAACAATGTATTTGGTGTTAAGAACTTTCAGTTTATATGTTTGATCTAATTATACATAACATTTTATGTCAATTTTTTTTAGCATGATTTTACTTCCACTTGCATTCATGTTGCATTGACAATCATTAACAAAAAACATAAACTTCTTAGTGCCTCAATTAAAAAAAGCTCATTTGATTGTGTGAGAAGAGATTTGACAGAAAAAAATATTTTTAGTTTGTTCATTTAAAAATATCTTATATTCAAAAGAAGAATTGACAAACCTTTTTTTTATATAAATATGATGATTTCTATTAAATTTTGGATTTGAGATATCTTGTTTTTTATTTGAGTTATTTGATTTGTAACACATAAATTTTTATAAAAAATGATAGCAATTATCATCTTCAAGTTTCTTGGTATAGTGATGATAATCATGTTAAATATGAATGAGAGTTAAGTGTAAAGAGATACAAAATTAGGAGTACTGTTATAAATGAAAAAGCAAAGGATTTGATATAAGGAGTTTGCTGGTTATCTTGTGACATAGTAAATGATTGAGTTTCTATTTCAAAAGATAGAAGGTGAAAATCATGATAATATTTTTGAACGCACAACTAGTGCAAATAAAATAAAATACAATTTGGGCCAAAAGTTGACAAATGAATCCTTGTATTTCATCATCTTTTCATGTTGAACAGATCAAGTCAAGTTGTGAACATTATAATCAAGATGAGGAGTTAATGATTAGCGTGACAACTCATAGTATAGAACATTGGAAAATGACATTAATATATATCTAAATATAATATTAAAAGATATTTTAGCCTTAATATATTGATATAAGAAAAATACTTGAATACTTGAAAAAAGAAAAAAAGGATTCATAGTTTTACTTTTGCTTACTAATTGAATCGAAAGCTTTTAGTCTATCTTGATAAACCAACGTTTTTAACAAGCTCTCCAAACATTTTCACTAGATTTGATCATATCTCGTTATACTAGATTTTGAATATCCTTTTTTGCATCGATAAGGTGTATGGATCAATTAACTATTAGAATTACAACGATCAGTTTTTCCGTGTTGGCTCGGTATATGTCTTTACATCTTCATTTTCTATGTGTCTATGTTATCTGCGATACAACAGTTGTCCCCATTAATTTTCTAACTCTTAAGAACAAAGACGATAATTATCATGACTTAAGTCATGGACGTGGTCTTTGTTATGATGTGAGAAAGTTATATTATTCAAATGGAGTGAGTGTTGGAGTGTGCTTTAGCATATCCTTACCTGGTTTGGGTGAGAATGGTGTTTGAGGATTACAAATGTGAGACAAAAGTTTCAAAATGGATGATTATCCTAAGATTCTCTTGATTCGGAGAAGAGTGGCAAAGGTGTCTAGTATTGGGGTTATGTAGAGAATCCACCACTATTCTACTTGATGGGGCATTCACATACTGTTATTTTTCTTTGCTCTACTCCATGTGATCTACTTCAAGATAGCTGATGATTTCCGATCATTATATATTATCATTTCCAGAGTTTTCATACTTATATTAGACCTTTTGTTCACTCATTGTTGCTCACATTATAATCGTGCTTTATGTCGCTAGACTTTAGGCAGAAGCTAAAAACAGAGGTTCAAAGTGCGCTGATTCTGCGTGTTTTAATAGGGTTCTGAAGATAGATGTTTGATTCTCGAGTTCTACTTGTACCTCGTTATCGATTCCTGCATTACGGACCTTTTTGCATTTGAGTGAGTTCTCGATGATCCGGTACATGACGTACAAATATCTGTCTGTTTGCAACACTGGAGTTTTGCCAGTTGTATCTGCTTTCCGCATCACAAAATGCCCAGAAATGTAGATTCTGGCCTTCAAGTTCCTCAAGGGAACACTTTCAGTTTCGAGTTTGAGAAGAAAGGTTTTGATGATATGACCTAATGAGGCCTTTGCATCGGTGCCGATCGAATAAGCATACCCATCAATTGTAGTTTGCATGTCCGCGGTTCCACTCAAATGGACTTCTCTGACAAACCTTGAGAATGGGGTTCTCGGATCGTGAAACGCGAAATGTATCAGGGACCCTCAGGAAGTAAATGCACAAACACACTCCGTGTTCTAGAATAATTATGTCATCCAACAAGCAATCCCAATACCGACATCTTCCCAGGAGAGTGAATCTCTTGAAGTGGCAGTAGATGACCCTCCCAACTTATACTCTTCCAAAATAAGAGAAAGCTGGAGTCTTCAGTTTTTAAAATTCCAAGGTTCTCATCTATCGCTGTTTGCTCGACGACTGGAAAGATTCAAACTCTAGACAGTGGCTGGCTCAAGGGTTATAAGGACAGCTTTCGCGAGTCGCACTTCCATATACGCTCAGATTCTTGGGGCTACCACTGTTTTGACTGCATGATCGATGATGAACTACATAACCGTTCATTCCGCATGAGAAGGTTTCGTCTGCAAACCATTTATGCTCGCTAGACACATCACTACACTTGGCAATACGTCCACTGCCCTGATTCTATGCACGATTCATCTGCTGTGCAGATACATTGATCACCCTCGCGACTTGCAGTCCGTCAAAATGGTCCTGACAGATCTAACATCCAAATGAAACTGTTTAGGATCAAGAGGCTAGATGTAATTGGCTGCTGACATGCACATAGCTGAGTGAAGCAGGTTAATTTAGGTCCAAATTGTTCGGAGGTTGTCAACAGTCCTAGAGGGCAATATCTGAGATGGTCTTCTGAGAAGTTTTGATTTAATCATTCCATCTACACTGTAGATATATTGATGATTCTACACCTAAAATGTAATATATGTACATATAACTATATCTACATCTACAATGTAGACTGCATCATCCCATGCTTTGCACGAGTTCGGTTTGACACCTTGTATTTAGCAAATATCGGAGTCATCGATTGGAATGGTGCATTCTGCACAAAATTAGAATGCTTTCATCTGAATGCACCAGTACCATCCAATGTGTCAGATCCTTTTCTATTGTCCCAGCTGCAAAACTTCTAAACTATTTTTTCTATCCATACCGTTTTATGAGTCTGTTGGTGTATTGCAATCTCAAATACCTTGGATTGGCTTCAAGCTCGCTGTCATATAATCTCTGGCAACTACTAAAATCCTAGTTTGTGATGTGCATCAGGCCCACCTTCAATGACTGTTGGTGTATCACAAGAAATCGGAGAATATTGCAGTGCTTTTGCAATCACGAGCGAGTGCAGAGTACGTTCACTTAAGAATGACTGGGTCGGTCAAAAGAACAGATCTGTACATGATGACATGCAGAATAGCTGTCATTCTTCTCAGGTCAACAAGACTTTGTGATAATATTTCTGCTGGGTGGGAAAACTTTCATCATGAAGTTTTCATCCGACAAGTGATGCGTGTACCGTAATACATGTTGACACGAGTTTCCTCAACTTTCAAATCCAATCTCGCTTGTTGGTCCTAAAAAGATCTCTGCTTTGAAAGCACATGCGACTTCCCTAAGGTCCGGAAGCATACGGATTCATCCGATCAGCTAATAACAATGCTCTTCCATAGAATGTCAGACACGAGTCGGTTGAATTGATATCCTACTTGCCGACCACTAGTTACAAGGACTCTGCCTATTAAAACATCCAATGAAAAAACTACTTCTTAAGCGCTAGCGTATGCTTCCTTCAATATATCGAGGAATGTAAGTGCATGAAGCGGATGATAAGATTAGCAGCCTACTTGCCTGCAAGCTGAAGTAAGAATCCCCTCCAGGTACCAACAAAATAATAATGATACCATATGCTAATGTTGAACGTGCCTTCAGTAACCTATATTCCTTCGGGTTACAAAAGATCAAGAGTAATGGAAAATCTAGCAGCAATTTGCGACAAAAGGCAGACTGGCATTCTGGAAGTTCTTTGTAAAGCCATGACAATCTCAACATTGTAAGGAAACATCAACACGTTACTTCATGTATCTTACTAAATCTCGGCGGCACGTTTGTATCAAGTATACGTAGCATAAAGAAAGTTTTATCATTTTTTATTTCTCAGTCTTTTGCTTGCTTTCGTCGAAAAAGTTGAACGTCACGTCCGGCCATAGATACCGTCCGTGTCCTTCAAGCTAATAAAACGTGAACAGATTTCCATACTTCACCGACCGCAGCTTCATTTGTTGCAGAAAGTTAATTTTAAGAGATCCGCATTTTCAATTGCATATGAGCTACTAGCAAAAGTATTACATTTTGTCCTCAACTCGTCTACCTTGAACCTGGTCTAATCGCACCAAATTTTAGTCATTTCTTGAAATAACACTATTGTGCATGCAGGTATCGATGAACTTCGTGCGCAGCTTCGTTTGATCCATGCTTGGAAATCAGAATTCTTCTGAAGGTCGGTGAGAGAAAGTCTTCACAGAGAGCTTCAGATGAGGAAGACATTTTACAACTTTATCTACAGTTTTTCCACAGAAAAAGTTTGGCGGCGTTTCTAATAGTCGTAAATACATCAAGGACTTGCTATACTCAATCGGCGCCTACGAGTCTGGACTCTTCAAAAAGTTTTCTTACAAAATTAGAGGATATATTTTCACAGAAGATCTCAGATGAAATAGGGAGAAATGGTCGAATCAATTCGAAACAACCTCAGCATGTCAAGATCAAGACTTCCGACAAGTGTTAGTACTGTTGAGACAACAAATGGAGAGCACATAAGTACTCAATACACTGAGTGAGTGATCCATTCCGAGCAGCTAGACCTTTCCAGAAAGCCAGAAAGAGCAGGCAAAGGCATAGTCGAGAAGGATGAAATATACGACAGATCTCGATTGATTTGACATATCACGTAAACTCAACAATTGATGTCAACAGGAATCAGGAAATCAGTTGAATGAATCAAATACATCAAAAAAATCTTACCTCGGTAATTTGAATCAAAGGCATCTATATCTACAGTATAAATTCGGCTAATACCTGGACTAATTCTCTAGCGGTCTAAAAGCTATCGCACATTGACTTCTCTGCAACTGTTACACTACAAAGTCGCAATATTGAGTACAAAGAAAAACGTTCCTCTTCTACGCAAGCTCGTCTGTGACCTTATCATCGCTTCACTTCGCATTGTTTACTCACAACTTGAGAACCGTTCAAGACATCCGGATTCACAGAGACGTTGCATCTTACATGGACCCAGAAATGGGGAGATTTCCAGGCACCGATCCTGATACGTGCGCGCACATCCACGGTGACATACAACGGAATCCTGCCTACGCTCTGGGCGCTTTGCAGAGCTTGCCCGACGGTGGATTCCAAGGGTACATCACTGGCACGCAGGTCCCCGGTAATGACAGTGGTATTCTTGTGACCTTGATAAAAGGAAGGAATGTCTCCGGCGCCGATAGATACCCCTTCGGAGAGCACATCAATATTGATTGCGTCATAGTAGATGCCGATTTTCTGATTGGGATTACGAGCTTCGACCTCGTACTGTGTCAGCGCATTCAGCACATATTTGCTCGGGTCCGAGGAAGAGGGGCTGACGGAGAAAGTAGCCAGTTTGACATCCTTCACGTTGTACTTGGGAGCCTTGGGGTGCACGACCAGGAAGAAGACGAGAACAGCGATGCCGATGGCGAAAATGAGGGCAACGAGAATGCCACAGAACCAGGCAGCGCACCTACAGCAGGGGTCTCGTCTCCTGCCCTCTCGGCCGTCAAAATCTTCGGGAACTGGCGCAGCCGTCTCATCCTTCAGATTGTAATACGCTCCGTGAGGAGGAGCTCCGGAGACAACATTCTTCTCCGGATAGACACGATCTGCCATGGAATCGTCGCCGAACAATCCACGCTAGTGAATCGCTTCTCAGCTGCAGCTGAGACACGTCTACTCGACAACAATTCCGCTTTCCCTTCCTACTCGCCGGTGTTCGAGCGGAACATTCGTCAACGATCAGAAGAACTGCTTCTATCGAGATGAGAGTTGAGCCTGAACAGACTTGGCCCACGCAAATTGTTCTTGTAGAAACCAGTTCTCGGCCTTCCACGGAGGAGCCGCAGCTGGCAGCGGCAGTAGCAGCGGCAGCTGCAGAACCAACGCGGAGTCTAAACCCCCCACTCCCCGCACCTCACTCCCCTCCCCTTCACTTCCCTTCACTACAGCACACGCTAATCAAACCCTCACTAGTCTCACACTTTCGGTGAGTTTGTTGCACCATGGAGACGTATCACTCGTCCCCTTAAACACGCTATTGACAGAAGCTGTACAAAAATTATAACCTTTGACTTTGCAATGGGAAAGGAACAACGTCACCTGGTCGCGAAGGCACAAAACGGGATGGAGAAGCGACGCGCTAGCCGTTCGCGCGGGGGGCCTTCGCGCCCCCCACATCACCAAGCCAGTCCAGTGTGCATGACGTACGACTCGTCAGTCAGTCTCTAGACCGGAACTACTCTACTCCTTCGTACCCCACCCAAAAGCGGGCACACAGCGCAGCGCAGTCGCGGCAGTCCTGAACGACATATATCGTACGGCCACGCGCAGCCTGGTTCCTAGCTCCGTCGCTTTACACCTTCTCCATCACTCCAGACCAGCAGCAAGGCAGCGGGCGGCGTCACCGTTCTGCAGTCCACTACTACTGTACACTCCATCCGCGGCTTCACCGGAATCTCTCCTCGTGCTGATCCCGAATGTCCTACGGATCCGATACAGCAGGCTACGAATTGATGCCTGGGTTCATTTATTGCGATCCGGTTGCGAGGTTTCTCCGTCCTAGCGGACCCGCCTCGCCCATCATCGCAGAGCGGAGACATGGGTCCGTGTTCGGCGACTTGTCGCCGCAATAAATTCCAGCGCCGATTGTCAGATGGACAAGATTCCGGCGAGAGACGCGGTACTCGTCGCCAGTTTAAGCTCCTGCTCCTCGTCCTCCTCTCCTCCAAACCCTTGCGACTTTTGTTTCATTCTGGCGGCATTGGCACGCCGGCCCAAAAATGTCCGACCCTTCCTCCCTGCCTCTTTGTCTGCTGCCCGGCGATATGTGGTAAACATTCCAGGATGGGAGTCTTCGTCGCCACGACAGGGTTTAGTGGGCTCGGTCGCTGACCTGGCAGACCTCCAGCAATACTCACCGCTTCCGTCATCCGACGCTCGCCCACCGACACACAAGGCCCGCTTTGTCGCGGCGCTCCCTCTACTTGCGCCCGTAAATTTCTTGTTCAGCTATCCAGATAGAGGAAGTCTCCTCCAGTCAGTGCTCGGTGCTCTCGTATCCGTCCGCCCTTATCTGCCCGATGGACCGGACTCTATGGGTATCGATGGACGGACCAATGATTCTCGTGCTGCCGCTGCTGGCGCCGAGGACATGGCCCGAAACCCGCGGAGGCGGTTTTCGGCCCCACACGCCTTTCTCCGTTGCGGCGCATGCCCCACGTCGAAGCCACGTGTTTAGATTCGAACGTCGACCGTGGTTATCCATCGAGGTGAGTTCTGTCGGACGGACTGCGTCGATCACCGTTACATGGGACTGGCGACCTGATGTTGCCTTGTATTGTAACATGACGGAATGCCGCGCGGATGTCTACTGGTCAACCCGGAACTCGATGTTCGAGCGATGGACAGACGACGAAGTCACACTTAAGTGGGTGCAGGATTCTGTCCAGCTTGCGCACCGTACGGGCTGTAATTTAGACAAATATGTCGATCCAGTTGTCCCTCACTCACTCCGATAGCCGTACGTTGTAGACTGTTTTGACTCCACTATATGTACGGTCATGTCATGTACTTCTCTAGAACGTATGTACTCAACACTCCAGCTGCAACGTTTGTCTGAAGTAATAAATTTTGTGTGTAATTTACTTTTGTGGTTGGAATTAGCCAAAAAAAATTCCTGCAATCATGGTCGGGAACGAAATGGTTAAGTTTGAGCACCAAGCCGCAATCTGAGCACTTTTTGACTACTTTGACTGTGGATTTCACCCTGATCTTTGCCAAAACAAGGGGGAAGAGAGAGAAACCCATTTAGCGTCAGTGGTTAAGGCATTATTATTATATTTAATGTTTTTCATCTCGCCTTAAGAAGATTGATTGTGCCATCTTATGGTATGTACTAGAGACCGCCCGATAGTGAGGTAGTCATTCGGACAAAATATGTTCTTATAGATGAATATATGACCTTTTACAAATAATGACATATACTCATCTATAAGCTTTCGAGCTTATAAATGGTTGCAGAAATATAGAAGTGAAATATCGAACGTACATCTCATTCATCTCATCTATCTTGACCACAAAGATTAACACATACATCTTTGCTAGTCTTCATGCAGGTTCTGGTCATGTCAATAATATATTGGTCCAGTACCGTCTGGGATTGACAAATGCAGGATATACCAAAATCAACTTTCGTTTCAAATTCTCTCCGAAGAGCAACTGTTAAGGTGTAGACAATATAGAGATTGAAATTTTAGGCCATAAACACTTGACAACCCGTCTTTCTCATAGACCTGTTTGTCCGTAATTTCCATTTGATGGACATTTGGAATCTCTGTATTGTTGAGTGTTGATTCGACCCTGAGGAGACTATTCGAAGATGTCGACAAGCATAACTGCAACGCGAGGCCTACTCTAGGACAAAGCGAGGACTGTTCAGAGAATATATTCTGCTCACGGCTGTCGCACGAACTTTACACAGATTACAGGAACGACCGGAATCCTTCTCACCTCCTCCTATGCTAGTTTCCAGCAACTCAGCATTCCTTTTATGCCTCAGAGGTCTTAATTGATTGAGAGAGAGAAAGAGAAAAGAAGAGAAAGGGGAAAGAGAGTTCAATTTCAAATGAGGTCATGAAAGTTCTTAGGAGTTCGTTTTCATCTCTATCTGAGGAAAACAAAAGGTCAATTACATGTTATGATCTTACAAATCATTAAAGCTAGTCCCACCAGTAGATCGAATCTGGCTGAAGGGATTTGTACAATTATTGATCTCAGTGGGTTCTCACACCCTATGCACATAGTCGAGAAGTTTTTAAAAGGTCATGGAGACGAAGTCTTACTTTACTAAGGTTGTATTTGTGGAGCTAAAGGTAATCCCTAAACCCTAGAGTTGTTGGCTGTGACTTTTGCAAGAACGTCACTTTTCATTGAGCTGAAGTCACTTCTGAGCTGACCATTTTGCCAAGCCAACTCATTGGCGGTTGTAGCAGATCGATTTGCTTTAGACCAGTGCTTGTGATCAGTTATAACACTGTGAATGTGGAATAGCACGCTGTACAGGGTCTGCACGAGTCCTGGAGATCATATATTCATTTTCACACATGTTCATTTCAGCAGAAACTTGTTTGTTTGTTCGCTCGCTAAAAACAAAATGCCAAGCTTGGTGGTTGTCTATCGTACTCCCACCTACTGACAAAGTGATTCTCCGCAAAGCTCAGAAAAGATCAAACGACAACAGCTTGGACCAATACGAAATTTTACAGGCCGTGAAGTTATTAGCTCATGATAACTCAAGGATGATGATTATTGAGTCATGCCCCAACTTTATGTATACACTTATAATCATATAAGATTCAAATTCACTTTTCCTTTCTTTCCCAAGCAGCAAAAATATCCTTCTAGCAAAAGAACCATATGTATAATTGAATATGGAATTTATCTGTTATAATATAAAATATATCGAATGCATACAATAGATTTCTATTGTTTATATATTATCTTTTAAGGGCAGTACCAGACAACCAATTTAGCTGTAGGAACATCCGTACCCTAATCTATTATAGTGAATTCACATCTCCAATAATAGGTCATAAAAATAGTAAGTTATACCCGTTCTAAGCGTCCTTGTGAAAATAGATTATATTGGAAACTGTGGGCTAGACTTCTCCTAACTGATTCGTAACTAGTAGGCGCAAAAGTTAGACGTCACGGATTCATAATTAAATTTACGCCTACTGCCTCATTCAATTACTTGATGGGACCATGTGAAACTCAAAACATATTTCATTTTACCCGATAATATCCATTCAACAGCCATGCATGGACAACATGTTCTAATCAAAGTTCTTATAACCTAATAATTTATGTCGTAGTGTGAATAGTGTTATCATTATCGGGCCAAAATACTCTCTCCTTTTAAAGTAATTTGGCGACTTCTTCGCACCGTGTCTTAGAAAGCGAATGCCACCATGATATTGACGATCCCGATATCGTCTTCCCATATCTGCATCTGAAAAAACAGCGAAAGCATCCTACCAAGTTACCATCGAGTATAAACTTGAAGGAAACTTTGTGCTTGACAATAAGAGCTAACATCTGGAGAGGTTGAATTGAAGCGAATCATATATGGAATCTCAGCCTCAACAGATCGATTGACATCCATTGACTCTCAAGATCAATCTATGTAATCTAAGGCGATGGATAAGAGTCAGAAGTATGGAAAGCCTGGAAGTGTGAAAGCCTATGGAGGAAATCCAGGCTTCAGCTGCCCAAAGTATGGAACAGTTGGATGAGCAGCGTGTTCCCAATGCTAGAAGAGTTTGCTCTCCATTTGCAGGTTTTCCTTGAGAACATTCATAACCTCCCCATGTCTGACCTCTCTACGCCGTTGGGCAGAATGCACGACAACGCCAATCTTGCCACCATGAGCACTTCTTCTCACTCGTACTCACCGCACCAAGACGGATTCACTATGGTGTCGACATGTAGTATTGGAACATCTTTGACTGTTGGTCGTCGAGTGGGTCCCATCAGATAAAAATTGAAACCTGTTGGATCCATTCAAGTTTATTGAGTTTACTTGGGATCCCATCAAGTAATTTACTCGGGACGTAACTGATTTTCTCTTTACATAGACGTACACTTGAGTGTCTAGTTGACCCCTCTCTTTAGGATTGAATCTCATGACTCTTTCTAGAGAGTAAATTCATATTCATATATCCATTCTGTTTTTTATACCCTTGTTAATGATAAGAAAATCAATGACTAAAATATATATTATAAAAAATTTAACTTTTTTAGTAAATCAATAATATTTTTATAATAAGTAATACAATACTGAAAATTAAGTGTTAAATCTATACCTCATATTATGAAGATGTTAAATGAGTAAAAACCTTTGTAGTTCCCTTTGATTTATTTCAACAACTATATCATTCAAATGAATTCACACTTTGTATCACATGTACATCCACATTGTTTCATCACATTAAAATACACATGTTCAAATTTTTTTTTACCATCTTTGAATCATCATTTTAGCATCAATTGGAGAATCTTTGCAAAAGTGTTTTGCATCACC